ATGTAGCTGACAAAAAACTGGATGATGAGATCGATGCCAATGATGTTAAGATATAACAAGGATTATGGGTAGTTACATTTTACATGTTTCAACAGATCTTTTACCAGTTACAGTCACCTCTCCTGAGCATCCTCAAGCTGTATTTGTATCAAAAGCTTTACTTGTTTGATATTAAAAGTTTCCCATGATCCTCAGTGACCTCAGCTTTCCAGGTTTTTTGGTGACTTACTTTATTTAAATAAGTGTATATGGATGGGAAAGATGAAAATGTTCATGATCGAGGAGGATTTCAAGGATGGCGTTAATATGTTTATCTTATACTCATTAATTATTCATGAGCTCATCGACCAACCAGGGTTTCTTAGGCCCCGWCCACACTATGCCGGATAAATTTGAATCCGAATTTTTATTTATTCGGTTAGGCCTACCGTCCACACTAGTCCGAGCGAATCCGGAACAATTCTTCACCGAAAACGATTTTTTTCGAATACGGTCTCCAGAGTGGAACAATTTGAAAACGCCGGCTAACCGTATTAGTGTGGACGGAGAACATTTCGTATCCGAATTTTTTCGGATACGATGACGTCATGATTGTCATGGGAACATGGCGGGAAGGCTAAAAATTCACCGCGGGCTCAATTTCAGTTTCGATGCACATGCTCAGATGTGCAATGACGGGTTTTTGCCGCCTCTGATCGGACTAGTGTGGACGCGAAACATTTTATTTGTTTTCATGTGTGGACGGAAAACTTTTTTTTCGGTTTCGGTGTGAAAATTTCGGATTCAAATTTATCCGGCATAGTGTGGACGGGGCCTTATTTGTACCAAGTGCAGTAGTTTGAAACCCCCATCAAATACGACCGCACCCATTTCAAAGTTCTAGTACTTTGAAATATTTCAAAGTCCTTTTACTCGGACTTTGAAATATTTCAAAGTAATATAACTTTGAAATAAAAACAAATATAACAGAAAGAGTATAACGTCGTATCAAATACTCGTCACTGTATTCTATTGGGGTTTCAAAATCCTCGTGGCTACGCCTCGCCGAGGCATTTGAAATTCCACGAGGATTTTGAAACCCCAATAGAATACAGCAACTCGTAATTGAAACAATACTTCATCTTCAATATCTGTTTTTATTTATTCCAGATTTTTTAAGCGCCACTCACATCAACGTAGCAGCAGCGTCGAATGGTGCTACCTGCGGTTCGACAACAGGATCTACTGATTGCGCGAATGCAATCRATGGCAGCATTTCGTCAGAATGGCAAAAAACAGGAGGAGGAGTTGGAATATTTGTCAAGATCACTTTCGCTAGACAGTTTACTGTCAATACCTTGAGGATCATGCAACGTTCAAGCACGMTTGAACAGAACAAAAAGATTGCCTTGGAATTTTCTGGAGGCGAGATTTTTAAGGTACTGTGGTCTTGAAATGTGATGTTTGATGATACGTATTAGTGTTGATGACTGGAAACGATAATCCCCTTACCATGGGGGGGGGGGGGGGGGGGGCGGTTTGTGTGAACCTATGTTCCCCTAAAGCTATGTCGGCTGGAGTCTTGTACTCCTGTTAGGGCCAACCATGCCGAACAGGTCGTAGGTTAGAAGCCAGAAAAATAGTGTTCTCCTGGTCCTCCAGGTTTGGGGTTCGGCGTCGGGCTAACGATCTCACCCCGAAAAAAACCAGTGTTAAAGAAATCCAAAGTATTATTCTGAATAGGCGAAGAGCGTAAAGGCCTTATGCACCACTTGGCGCGGTAATACATGTTGATGATGATAATTAGTGTTGATGATGAGAAGAATGATGCATAATTTACGGTGTTATGTATTATATTATTAGACAACATTGAAAAGAAATACTGCAACTGTTTCCTCGGGCCCAGCCACGTGGGAAGTCAAGTATTTCCCAGAAGTTCGCTCTAGYTGGGTGAAGGTTACAGTTGAAAGTGTTTACTCCTCAAATAACAACGGATTCAGAGAAATTGAAATATACAACAGGAATGCAGATAAAGGTAAGAGCTGACCAATGGGAAGGACGGAATTTAGGCGCTACAAGTTGTGTGACAAACCATGTGTTACAGTTGTGTGACGAGTATGACCAAGCTGTGTTATAAGCTTTGCGCTACATAAATTTCTGTGTGAGGAGCTTGACCGAACAGTGTCAGTGTTACAGGGCGTGTAACGGACCGTGTGTTACAAGTTGTGTGACAAGCGACCAGCAACAAGTACTTTGAACAGCTTGACAAGCAGAATGTTGTAATTTGTGTGACGACGGCGACGGATAATGTGTTACGAGTTGTGTGTACAGGCGTACGCACAGTGGGCTGTCTAGCTTCTGTAAACGCTATATAGCTCGATCAATTAATAATATATATTTTTAAGAAAATAAATAAGGATATTTGCAATAATACTCGTGAGGAATGGACTTTGCATGTTTAAGAAAATTGGTTGTGTCACGCAATCGGCGTTATTGTGCTTCAGGAGTTTTCAATGGACTACTTCGACGATGCGGCGGCCATCTTGGATCGCAAGGCATTATGGGGTATTCAGGGGGCAAATAAAGGTTTGTTTACAGTAATGACGTCGATTGATATCAACAGCTCACCACAAGTGTATACAAGAAAAGATGAATCAAGACGCCACATCCATCACCTTTACCCATAAAAGATAGACAAACACACAAAACTCTTTATATTTTCCGTCATCTTTGTTTTGTTTTTGTTTTGTTTTGCCCCCTCGCAAGATGGCCGCCGTATCGTCGAAGTAGTCCATTCTTTCTCGTGAAAAAGCCTCTTATTTAGCCTCTCAATTTACTCTTTTCTTTATCATTTCATGAAATTTTAACAGGAAAGCTCTGCGATACGTTAGTTCTTCCACTTGCAACTAAATCCGAACGACGTCCTTTATTTGGTCGCACCGTATCCCTAATCTTGAAGTCTTCGGGCGTGAAAGTGTTCTTACACTCCAAAGACGAACCTTCAGCCAAAAACTACACTTTTGGTATAGGGGTTGGAGGAAAATGTACGCTCAGTCGTTTTGATAGCACAGATGCGGAGGTGCACAACGTTGCCTGTGCCAACATTGTGACGCCGAGTGGTCTGAGATCTGTTTGGATTGACTTGAGGAGTGCAAACATTGTACTGGGGTCTGGAACAACCGTGCTCTTTGAGTATCTAGATKCCTCTCCTTTTGAAGTGGGATATATCTCTTTTGAAGCAACAACAGAAACAAMTGTAACGCTATGCAATCGAGAAAGTAAGTAATATCGACACTCTAAGCCAACTAGGCCATTTGAATTATCCGCTACAGAACCTCCTTGAACGGGKTTATGTTTAGTTGAAAGTTAATATAATTAACCCCTGATACAATACTTTCATTAGAGCGCATACTGTTAAGTCATGGCTGCCATCACGTGATGGTGTAAAGCCTCTATAGTAAAGTGCACAAATTATTAAGTCCAGTAGACCTTAGTAGACCGTAGATGTACAAAATTTGCATTAATTTGTGCAATTTCTTACAAAGTTTTTCAAGGATGTWTGGTGTGAAACCATTTAAAACATATCGATTATTCATGTTTAGATGTGTGCACACAATTCCTTTCGGTCGTGCATTCGCCTATCACCATTCGCCGTTTCCCCTTTAACTTTTTTCTAAAAAGCTACATCTTTTTTTCACAACATATTTTCTTTTTAAGATAAGTGCTACCAAGATGCAGATCATTACTGGCCCATGGACAAGATCTCAGGAGGGGAATTCCAGGATACGAATGGTGGTAAAAATGCCAAAACTAATATAAGCCACCCTGATATGAAAGCATCATTTACCGCCCTTAACATGTWTGCAAATGCTCCAATGTTCGATACCACAGCCGCTACACCTAAAGACGCCATATTTGGAGACTTCATGGGGGATTGTATTGGGGATGTTGAGACCTGCGCAKATGGCATGACGCTCTCGTTCCGACTAATCATTCCTGGTTCCTTAACCACAACCACTAGGTTATTGGGAACCAGAAAAACTGGTAAAGGTTTTTTAGTACATTTCAAGGAACCATCAAATATAATTAGCGGCTTTTATCTGCAATCGGAATTCGTCAAGTTGTCTTTCGCCATTGCCAAGGATAAGCAGTACCATATTGCTATGGTCGTGACCAAGGATAAGAATYTGAAAATGTACGCTAATGGCATTGAATTCAGCAACATGGAACGGTTAGCACAGGTATCTTCAGGCGCTGATACGCTATTTAGAATCGGCTCAACGGACRCAAGGAAAGGAACCTTTATTCTCTCCGACGTGGCAGTTTGGAATAGGGAACTGAGTGCTGTAGAGATCAATCAACGACTGTCCTGTACGCAAGTTGGGATTGGTAAGAAAACTTTTGATATAAAGCTGTCAGATCACGTGTTTATTACCGCCATGGCCTGGACCTGATAGGTCACGTGAGGGATTTCTAAAAKGAAGTAGAAACTAGTATCTTGGCTCCCAGACTCTAGTCTCCTACGCAGTCGCTATTAGTGTTGTTAAGTRACGGAGTGAGCGTTGCGTGACGACACTAATAGCGCCTGCGTAGAAGACTACCCAGACAGGGGATCCTAAATTCATGATCAATGTACACGGAAATTGGAATTCAATTTTCAAATCCAGTGTTGTTTAGGCTTATCTCATATAAGAAAAGTTATGGCTGCCATCTTTCCGCATGACGATGTGACGTTTATCTCGGTCAGCTCTTGTAAGAACTAGACGCATATCCGCGTGAACTCGGRCTTCATAGCAGAAAATCGAAAGAATTCTTCGTGAACATTGTCATCCTTCGGACGAAACCTTGAAAAATTCCGCCATTGCTCGACCATGTCCTTATGTGGCGCATAATACGCGCATAGAACTTGCGCATAGAACTTGCGCATAGAACTTGCGCATGCGCTTTGAACGCAACTGCGATTTGTGACAGAACGCAAATAAAGCCCAATTTATACCTCGGGCATTTCTTTGAAAGCCCGAGTAATTAATAAACGAATTCTTTTTCGCAGTTGATGAATCTTGTAGTCCTGCTGTCAAAGTGCCGTCTGTTGGTTCAAACTATAATTCTGATCAGTGTACTTCCATTACCTGCTGTCACGATGGTAGCACGTGTTTCCGACGCGATGGGGTTGGGACTCAAGGTAGGCGTGCATTCCATTAGTTATCTGTCAAAAAAAAAGAACCAAATAAATTTTATATAGCTATTTCAAAAAAAGGGTGTTGAAGAAAAAGGCCTAGGCGACTGGTGATAGGAGATGAGATTATTCCAAGATCCAAGATTAGCTGAAATGTTTTTCTGCCTCTTATTCTCGTAATTTCTTGTTGAAAAATTCGATGTCGAAAAAGCTATTTTAAAGCCTTCGGTTAATTGGTGTTTAGTTGTTTGTCTCTCGTCTATCTTCTTTGGCTCGTACAACCTTTAGTGAAATAGCTAGGTGTACGTGTATCAGCTAAAAGATATTATATTATTCGGGACCACAAAACCTACTGTTTCCCTCGGTCCCAGTAAATAAGTGTTRATTACTTTCAAYAGCGACCATCTYCACTGCTGGTAGCATCTACACCKCAAGCTCTGTAGAAAGTCAACATACACCGGCGGTCAATGGCAAGATATCCTCTGAAGATGGTAAGTGGTGGAGTTTGGTGAGTTACTAATAAGAGGACGATAGGTGAGGAAGGGGGGGAAGGCATCGGTAGCACAGCGAGAGTGTTGACGGGAGTGAGGAAGGTTTTGGCGCGAGCGTCTATAGCACAGCTGAGTATATCTGGGGGATTATCAGGGGCTCGAAGTTTTAATTCGAAACATGCTGTAWATCAGTAGTTTTTATGAAGTTGATCTAGTCCATTGTTAATTGTCTCCTACTTTAGCCTTACTTGYATACACGGCMTGGAGTCCCTCACCAATGGACAAGAATCCTTACCTACAGATTGACACCATGCAGGTCCGTGCCATCACTGCTGTTGTGGTACAAGGGACTGGCGTATCAGATCAAAAAAACTACGTCACCACGTTTGCAGTGTCTACCAGCAAGAGCTGCAAGGTCTTCCAACATATTATGGATGGCTCTTCTAAAAAGGTTGGTCAGTGATAGACTTTAGAAGCTAACTTTGGGATGGAGGTCACAGGGATGGGGAGTGAAAGTTGTGTACTTGGTACAAGGATTGGGGAGGTGGGATGGAGGTTGCAAGCCGGATGGGATTGGTGTGGTAAGGGTGTGGGAAGTTGTGTGGTACCAGGATTTGGGAGGTTGGATGGAGGTTTACTAGGGATGGGAAGGGTGTGGTAAGGGTGTGGGAAGTTGTGTGGTGTAAGGATTGGGGAGGTAGGATGGAGGTTACGAGGGATGGGAAGGGTATGGTAAGGGTGTGGGAAGTTGTGTGGTACCAGGATTTGGAAGGTTGGATTGAGGTTTACTAGGGATGGGAAGGGTGTGGTAAGGGTGTGCGAAGTTGTGTGGTGCAAGGATTGGGGAGGTTGGATGGAGTTTGCAAGGGATGGGAAGGGTATGGTAAAGGTGTGGGAAGTTGTGTGGTATAAGGTTTGGGGAGGTGGGATGGAAATTACAATGGATGGGAAGGGACAGTTATGTTGTACAAAGATTGGGAAAGTGGTATGGAGGTTAAGAGGGATGGGAAGGGTGTAGTAAGGGTGTGGGAAGTTGTGTGGTATAAGGATTGGGGAGGTGGGATGGCGCACCATCAATAAAATAATAAATAATAAATAATAAATGAGCAACATCTCTTTTTCCACACGGTGTTCAACAAATTCACTTATCCCTACTTGTCTTATACTTGTTTAACTAGTTTCTCTATAACCCATAGGTTTTTAACGGCAATACTGATTCTACTGGACGTGTTACTGTTGCCATGGCTTCTGGTTTGGAAGCACGCTGCCTGCGTATTGAACCCATTGCCTTTATTGGGAAAATTGCTTTGAAGGTCAAGATACTAGGAACCAGAAAAGGTATCTTTTGAAAGTATTCCCTCCCATTCATTTCAAGGATTATTTAGTATGTAAAAAATGTGCTTTGAGTTATCCTCCAAATTCAGCTGTATTCATAGTCCCGACTCAGACAATAGTGAACCAATCACTAACCTGTGTACAGCCGCTCCCCACCTCACCCCCTACGAGGAAAAACGTACACAGGCTAACCACAGGCTAACCACAGGCTAACCAATCACAGTTGCAGCAGTTTTCTCATTGGAATTAAAATTTTGTCTCATAAACGACTACACAGTATCTGTTTTAAAGAATACTACAAGGATTACGAGGCACTTTTATTCTATTTTCAGAGAACAGTAAACAATAGAAACAATTTATCATCAATTTTTCGCGATTAGAGTTTAAATTTTTAGATATTCTAGCTTATTTGTTAAGCTTGTGGGACATAGCAACGGTTACTAAGGGAACTGGAACTCGGAACAATAAATTGTGATTYGTTTCAAGTGTCTTTTTATTGGTCCACAAAGTCCTTTTTGATTGCAAGTTTTGAAACCTTTCGTTTTGTTTATTCTTTGAATATTTTAGCCAAAACCTTCCATGGTTGTTACAAGGGCGGCCAATTCACTGCCGCTGAACATTATGACAGTGTKTCGTTGACTCCTGAGAAATGCATCACAGCCTGTGGGGTCGCAAGCAAGACCTWCGCGGCTCTCAAGTACGGCAAATATTGCTTCTGTGGAACCTCGGTAGCGACCGCTGTTGCCGATTCTTTTTGYAACACTCCTTGCAGCGGCAATATGAAACTAACCTGCGGAAGTGATGACGCCTTCAGTGTTTATTCTGTCTCGGGATCTTTTCCAACAAGTTTCAGCTGCACGACTCCMGCAAAAGTAGCCAGCCTGACTCCTTTCTCAACCACATGCACCGCAAACTCTATGGCAGAATGCGACTTTGGTGAGTCTCTTCCAGTTACTGGCACAAAYACTGCTCTTAACCACTCGTATTACTCCGTGCCATCGGACTTCAACGTGTTTTGCAAAGGTTATTTGGATACAGCCGGTGAGAGCGACGAGAAGCGCTACGACACGGCCATCAAGGTGTACGATGATTTCGAAGCCGAGCTGGACTGTCCGGACTTCGCTCAAACTCATAAAARTTTAACGTGTGCAGTTAAAGTTGCCAAAGGTACAGAATTACAACTCAGCTACCAGTTGCCSGGTCAATCACCTGTATCTTTGGAACTGTGTGGTAAGTTAACTGACCAGGACTTTTAATTGATCCCTTAGGGGTTGAGGCAGGGGCGTGTCAGTTTAAACCAGAGGAGATGAGGTTTTAGCCAGGGGGGCAAATCCCCCCCTCCCCCCCTACAATCGAGACCTCGCTACGCCCCTGATWCTAATACATTATTAACGATTATATCAATCTGTTTTGCAGATTCTATTGGTATTGGTTTAGGAGAGACGTTTGATACCCCCGTGGGTGGAAGCCAAGAAATCAGCGGTACTATCGTACTCCTTGACACAAGGTCTCCTGATGACGGGCAGTTTCTGGGCATCGAAGTCAATGTAGAGAGAGATGGGTGTGTTTCTGTACAGGTATCTACATTAAAATCTTTGTTTTTAATTCACGTGCAATTACAGAGGACAARGACACGAAGGATTTTGTTATATTTTGCGCGCTGATGACAGATGGTTTTGTTTGCTAATCACTGTTTCGCAGGTAATCAGCTTGCAGTCTTCATACTGACAACAATTAATGAATATGACAAAGGCTTCACAGTCTCAGCGTMAAAAGCGAAAGAGTTTTATAATTGATAAGATAATTGTTTAAATCTAGTTGTGAATTCAATTCTAGAAACTTCGCCCCGTTTGCGGATCKGGAGACACTAATGTTTACACGTACACTGATGGAAGAAGAGAGGCCCAAATAAATACCTGTTCCTTCACTACGAACTGCACGGATGGCCAGACGTTCTCAACTGACTCAAGACACTGTGTTGTGAATGGTTCATACTCAGACAACGTAACGCTAACTGCACCACCCGAAMGCCACGAAGTGGTGTCAGCTAACTTCATTTGTTTCACAAGCGTTGGTCGACACCGCCTTCACTTTGAGAAAGGAAATATCTCTAGCGTTGTTATGGGAGATGTGTTCGCYTTGTATTTTCCCTCTAGTGGAGCAGCTAAGTTGTCGAGTAGAGATTCCAGTGACTCAGGTCTTGGTGGACGTTCGTCCGCAGTSATTTACACTGGCCAAAACAATGGCATCGGAAGTGTCTTGGATCTGACGGGAAGTGCAGTGAAACACTTGGGATATTCGATCTTGTTTCTCATCAAGGCCAAGTGCGTTTTTCAATTGCCATTAACGTACACCACAATCGGTGAATATATTSAAAAAGTTACAGTCAAGTCAGCGGAACGTTCACAAGAATACGCGCAAACGATCGCAGTGCAGGAGAAGATATTTCAAGTGACTTATATTTTCCGTAAAGGTGCAGTCGTCAACGARCCCTATAACTTCACGGTCAATGCCCACAACGGCACCAGTATCTCCTACGAGATGCGCTTTGACAACGCAAGTTTACTACAAGGTAACAAGACAGCAGCACTTGAGGCTTACTCATTCTTTAACACTTACTCAACAAAAGGCACTAGGAGTATTTCTATTAACCTTTCAAATGGAGTATCCCAAGTATACATGGTTTGCCAAATCAAGGTCCTTAACAAGGTGGATGGCTTGAATCTGACCAGTAGCATTCCACCACAGGTATACCCAACAGTCACAACCATTTGCTTCAAGGTTACCAAAGGAGACGAAGTGACAGTAGCAGCAGACTTTGGGAATGGAGTATCCGTGGCTAACGGCACATTCAATATAGAAGATGTGTTTATTGGCTGTTTTAATCATTCATATGCAGTGGGAGTCTACCATATGACCGTCAATGCGACTAATGATGCATCAGAACAAATGATAACGCAGCTCGTCATTGTAGAGGAAGAGATCTTGGAATTAAGTTTCGTTGTGGAACACGCCGCAAGAGATATTGAAGTCAATGAAACCATTTGTGTGGTCACCAACGTCACCCAAGGAACAACGCCAACGTATAGAGTCGAATGGGGAGATGGTCAAGCAGCAGAAAGCCAGGACACTCGATTCTGTCGTCATTATAGCATATATGACATATACACAATCAACGYGACGGCTTTTAACAACGTTTCTAAGCTGAACACGTCTCAAGAGATACAAGTTCACAAGCCAGTCTACAAGCTAGTAAACTTCGCGCTCGTTTGCCCGCCAACGAACTTCTCTAATCCCACTCCGTGCTTGCTTACTATAGATGGTGGAACTGATTTCGTTTGTGATTGGACATTCGGCGATGGTTTGACTGGCAGCTCTAACTCATCACACGTGGGAAAACCTTTTAACCATCTTTACGCTGCTCCTGGGTATTATGATGTAAACATCAAGTGTACTAATCGCCTCTACAATATCACGAATCAGACCTTGGCAATTGTTGAAAAACCAATGATAGGACTTGCCATCGACCAACTTGCCAACTGTCCCCACGGGCAGTCAACTACTGCTTATGTCGGCGTTGTTCAAGGCACAGGCGTGGAATTCACACTCAAGAAGAGAAATTTCCACACGGGGACAAGTGTAGACATGGTTCCTTCTTTTAATCCCGAGATRACAAACGGTTCCGTTACGTTCGCGTGTGATGCTATCGGTGTTTACTGCATGGATGCTACTTCAGTGAACAACGTAACACTGCAGCAGTACTTTACAATGTGCTTCAAGGTCGACTATACCATCACTGGAGCGACTGCGACGAGACTGACCCCTGAGTATATCCTGGTTAAAAATACTTCACAGATCGAGATCAAAATGACCCAGGGATCAAATGTCACTTGCTATTTCGACTTCAAGGACGGAGCTTACGAGCCTCCTCATTTTACATTGGATGTCTTTCCTTCGGTTGGTAAAATCGTTTCCCATACGTATGCTGTTGAGGGCGATTTCTATGTCAATATTGTGTGTAACAATAGCGTGAGTGAGGTGACCTTTATAAATATAATCAAGTCACAACACCCTGCCAAAGAAGTTTTCTTAGTGTGTCTTGAACGCCAACCATTCCCACCAGGATATACCCAGTGCACGATCGATAAACCTGCCCACATAGCGACACCAACTAACCTCACCTGCATCACGAGTTTCGGAGATGGCAGTCAGACAACGAATCTACTTGTTCCCCCCTTAGTTCTAACACATACGTACGYGGCCATTGGTGCGTATCCTGTTGATGTCGCCTGTTCTAATCAAATGAGTAGTGTCAATCTCACGTCCACRGTCGAAGTACAGACTCCTATTGACAACGATGTGATGCTTTTGACGACCAGTGGCGGCCTATATGGGACGGGGTCACCTGGAAGAGGGGTGGATTCCTCGTACTTCCCCACRAAAAACAACATATCTCTAGATGTAAATTGGGGCAATGGAACCAATGTCTCTGTTTCAATCGACTGGGGCGATGGCACCAACACCTTGTCAAGTAATAATTCTTTTCGTCATATRTACACCACAGCTGGTACTTATACCGCCAAGATCACGATGTTTAATGCTGTTAGTTACRAAACCAAGACTTTCGTCCTTCATCTACAAGACGCGGTTGAAGGTTTCACGTTCAATAACAATGGGCCCGTTCGCATGGGGCAGGAATTCATTTTTCTCTTGGCTGCAGATCAGGTCGGGACGGAAGCTTGTTACTCACTCAATATCGGCAATGGCACCACATATGTCTATAAACCATCCGTCAACGCAATTTGTGAGCCTGAATGTTCTTCCGGGACGATCTACCGTACCTACACCAAGTCTGAAATACCAATGAACATCACACATCTCCATTACTATATCGGCAACTATGATATTTACGCTGTTGGCTGTAACAAAGTCTCCAGAATGACATTCACTAATCTGGCTAACCTATCTCCTAAACCCTGTAAATACCCCGTGGTCAACTTCACATTAACGGAAGCAAACTTCACCATGGAAACAGCTGTTCCTTATCCAAAGGCGTCACGAATAAAACTGACACCTTTGATCAAGATCGATTGTCAAGCCACTAAACTTTCAGTCAGGAAATGGGATCTCTTAAAATGCAACGACACGACTGGTAACTGCTCTGAATATTCGTCGAATTGTACAAGAGATATGTCCACATCTGACCCCATCCTCGTTATCCCTGAGCGTTGCCTGGAGTATGGTACATACATGGTGAAGTGCAAGGTAGAAATGATCGGTGGTGGGACCGTGGGAATCTTTAMGGAAAGTATAGCGTACGTTAAAGTTATCAAGTCACCGCTATTTGCTAAGATACTTGGGGGTACAGCAAAGTCAGTTGGTTATGGCAAACCCGTTCCAACTGATGGAACACCTTCTTTTGATCCCGACACCGGTGACAACGTAGGCATGAACTACTTTTGGTTCTGTGGTGAAAAGACTGAGGCTCTTAAAGTGTTTGGAAACTCGACAGATTTGCCAGCTAAACCTCTAACATTGCACCCAGATTTACAGGCAGCGTTGGGTCCTACGGGCGGCGCACCGTCACATCTTTATCGAGGTTGTAATGGCCACGGCCCTGGAAGATTCGATATCAATGATACGAAAATAATAGTTCCCACTAGTGGTATGAGGATTAATCATACTTACGTGGTCACTGTATTGGTAGCCAAGGACACAAGATGGGCGACGATGTCGCTTTCAATGGTAGTGTTGGAAGGAAACCCTCCAGACTGTAAAATTGTGTAAGTAAAATATAAGGTAGTCAATATTTTCTACCATCAATGGGGGAGGGGGGCAACCAACATCCTGGAGAATCTTAAAGGTTGTATGTATATCTTGACTTTTGGTTTCAGGCCGTAGAAATAGTAAGATTAATACTTTAAGGACTTATTTTGGCATGTTTTGACTTAAAAGTCGCTAGTTGCATCCCCCCAAATTAACTAAGAAAGTCACGTTATTGATAGTCTCACACATTATCAAGCCACTTTTGCTATTATCTTACACTACCACAACCTCATTGTCACTCTGTCATACACGTACTGTCTCCCGTCACACCATGGCATTACATTGTCAGTATGCCACATTGTTATTAAATTGTCACACTGACACATTGCCAATCTGTGACTTACTTACATCGTCACTCTTTCACGTCTTTATTGCTACACTACCATCTTCACTTTCATACTTTTAAAGTTCACTGTCACACCGTCACGTTTGCATCGTAACGCCTTCACTTGGCCTTTTCACTATCAAACTTTTACAGTGCCATTCTCACGCTGTCATTTGTCACACTGTCACGCCACAACAGTCCCCTTCACAGATCCCTGCGCCATCTTGAAAGGTAGCCGTGCAAGTGTGAAGAGACTATTGTTTTTAAAAAGCTCATCAACAAAATTTCTTAGAAAGTCTTGCTGTTTATTTTCCAGATGCGTCGCTGGTTGCGGTCACAAAATCAACCCTTCTGACAAGCACTCCCTCAAGGTGGAAGCCATATGTCCTGAATGCGGTGAAATAACCTATCACTGGTATATCAATGTAAGAAATAAGACAACCAATCAAATGGTTCCAGTCAGTAATTCCCAAGAGATGCTAAAGACCGAATTAAACTTCATCAATATAGTTGTTAAACCTAACATGATGCAAGGAGACAGTGAATACGAATTCAGAATCGAGGCATATGATACTCTTCATAAAATCAAGGGTTTTGCTGCTAGAACAGGTAAAAAAATAAACGATGATATAGTTACGGGGGCTTTAATCTTTTGGAGTACCAAGGGTATGTTAAAATTGAACTGTACAGGGGTGCTTACCAGTTACCCGGAAAAACCGGAAATTCTTGTTAGAAAACAAATGTATCATTCCGTTTGGAAAGTTCCGGAAAACTTCCGATTGAGGTACACTTTTCCCGCTCTTTTCGGTTCTTCTAGTAGACGCGTGTACCATTTTTCGGATGTTAAAGTTTCCCGCTTTTTTCTTACCATTAGAAAACGAATTTTCAATCGAACAGATTGGTTTAAACGGTAAGCATCTCTGCGTGCGTCTTTTCACTCTGGTTTTCACGTCATCTTGCTCTCCAACGTTTGACAGATTTTACAGTCATTTTTTTTTTTGCGTCAATCATTAAACAAACAAATTGGCGGGTCGGTGTCYACTGGTAGAACGAAGCTTGGGATTGGACAAAATAACAAAAACAAAGAAAGCATGGATTATGGACAATGTGTATTCTACATGTGAACTGTGTTCTTCGTTTTATCTCACCATTCATTGTTTGTTCATCCACTCCCAGGCTTCGTTCTGCCTGTTGTGTGTTACCCAAATTGGCGATGGAGGTGTACTAGTTTAACTCTCCTCTTTACTATATTGTTTTCACATCATCTTGCTCTTCTGTTTCCAACAGATRTTACATTTAAAATTTATACATCAATCATGAAACGAATTCTTATTTTGGATTTGATTAGTAGCTTTGTAGCCCAAAGCCTCATTAGAGTGCATATATCCGTAAAAACCTTGTAAGAAATTGCACAAATTTGCACATAACTTGTACAGTAAGTTCAGTAGACCTTAGACCTACAAAACTTTGCACTAATTTGTACAATTTTGTGAGTTAACTTTTTTATGGACATATTGTATGCACTCTAACTGAAACCATCGAAATCTTTTTGCAGGAATAACAAATTCTGGACCGAAGCATGGATCGTGTGATGTCCAGCCCAAGACTGGAGACAATGAGACTCCTTTCAACATATCTTGCAGTGGTTGGCATGACGATGATGATTATTTGACATTCTCTGTTAATCTTTACGATGAGAATACCAATATACTTACCCCGCTCACCTTGATGAGATCCGAAGAAAACGACATGGCTGCTTTGGTCAAAGAAATAATGAAGTTACCGGTCGGGAAGAAAGATAAAGATTTTGTCCAGAAAATTAGGATCCAAATTTGCGACCCTCTATTAAGCTGTGAAACTCAGGACGTGAACGTTACTGTAAGTTTAAAGCACTATTCTCACAGTTCTGTTTTGCCCAGCCTTAGCCTCAGATGTTAAAATATTCGGCCATTCAACCAAAGCTCGTGGAAGTTGAATCAACTTCTATCGTTCCATAGTGCGTACATTCTTTACTAAACAATGAACCTTGATAAAAGAAAAGATTACATTCGTATACAATAGACCTAATTCGTCTTGGTGCAATGTTTTCCCATTTCAAACCACGTGTCATTCCCAAAGATTTCATTTCTTTGTTTAAAGGCTGCAAATTAGAAGACACATGAATGTGGATACAACTCAAACGAGGAATCCTTTTCTCTGGGGAATGACACATGGTTTGAAATGGGTAAATATTGAAGCAAGACGAATTAGGTCTATCGAGGCTAAGCCTCAGATCATGATTCTACTTCTGTGACATCAGCGACAAACATTAGGGAACAATTTCACCGGCTTTAGATAATAGATCTCTTTAGCTTGGACGTACTGTTTTCTAATTACAGACCACGTGTCATTCTCTTGAGAACAAGAATCTTTGTCTGACTTATATCCATATCCGTGTGTCYTCTCATGCGCAACCATTAAAAAAGAAAATAATACTCTAGGGAATGACACGTAGTTTGTAAGGGGAAAACATTACACCCAAGCTAGAGGTCTATAAGACCTCCTCGGCTCTGACGTATTGTTTTCCCATTTCAGACCACGTGTCATTCCCTAGAGTATCATTTCTTTGTTTAAGGTTTGCGCTCGGTTGCACATGAGAAGACACACACAGCTCAAACAAAGAATCTTATTCTCAAGGGAAAAACATGCGGTCTGAAATGGGAAAACATTACCCCAAGCCGAAGAGGTCTATTGCTAAAAAAACTAGAAGACTCGGCACTAGTAGAGCCAATAAAGTCTCCGAATGCCACTGAAGACAAAGTTTGGGAAAGTGCATTGTTGGGCTGATTTAGGGGACATATTTCCAAGATGGCCTCTTTTTATTCTTTAAAACAGCCTCACAATGCACTGCAAATTCAACTCGACCTATTATTCTCAAGGGAATGACACGTGGTCTGAAATGGGACAACATTATGCTCGAGTGCGGCAGAGCCCATGAGGTCTATTGATTTCAGAATAGATCATTGTCTCTTTATCTTTCTTCAGGTAAAACTGCAGGAACAAAGCGAAGGAAAGTTCCAAGAGTTCCTCAATGGTGTTTTAGATCCAGACGGCACAATCAACGTTTTATTAGGAGAAGGAAAAATCGACGATCTTTGTACATATTTACTTAACACAATCACCACCATTAAATCCCTCCAAGCAACTCCTGCCCTGGCTTCCTTGTCTGAAGCAACTCAAAATCTCGTGCAAAATGTAAGGGTGTATTAATAATCCATGGAGTGCATACCATATATCCGTGAAAAACGTTGTAAGAAAATTGCACAAATTTGTAAGTTTAGTAGACCGTAGATCTACAAAACTTTGCAYTAATTTCTACAATTTTGTGAGTTATCTCGGATATATGTGTGGTATGCATTTTACCATATATATTTTTTAGCTAAGTTGTTTTTTCTCTTGTTGTTCCTTCCTTCCTTCCTTCCTTATGCTTGCTTGCTTGCTTGCTTGCTTGCTTGCTTGCTTGCTTGCTTGCTTGCTTGCTTGCTTGCTTGCTTGCTTGCTTATTATTTCTTCTGTTCCTCCTTCCTCCTTCCTACTTTCTTTCACCTTCAATTTATTCTTCTCCCAACATTCTTTGATCCTCTAGGTTGTTGAATATTCAATGAACAGCACATGTCAGATCGTCAGTTCAGACTCCAAGAAAGCATCTTGCAAATCATCAGTTATCAGTTCACTGCTAGAAGTAAAGACCACTATCACAGACGCGGTCAAGGTACGAGTCAATAGATCCCTTTATCTTGGTGTATTTCAGACCACATGTCATTCCCTTGAGAATGTGGGCATTTGATATTTTTCTCTTATTCTCTCTGATTCTTTSTTTGAGTTGCACCCATATTTATGTGTCTTCTCATGTGCAACTGTTAAACAAAGAAATCGTACCGCCAGGGAATGACACGTAAACTATAGACCCCTTGCAGCACTTCGGATTGCAGCTCAATTTGTAGAGCAAAACAAATAGTGTTCCAATTCTCATGAGATTGAAATTCGTTTGTTTTGTCCTCCAAGCTGAGCAGCTTTGACGTCACATGCAAGGGGTCTCTTCCACTAAATGAAAGTTAACAGTGGTAAGTATAACCTTTTTTTTTTTTTCAATTCATGCTTTTTTTTTAGAAACAATCATCGGACTGCCTTATGGAAGCTGCTAGCGATATCAGTAACTTCCCCCCGTCCGAACTGGCGAATGCAGCAACAGGTCTTGTCTCGGCATTCGGTAGTGCAATCGACTCCGGTGCCAGTACCACGTTAACTACGCCTACCATAGAAACTACACCTGAGCCACAATATGATGAATATGGCACCCCAATAGAACAAACTCCAAGTCCAAGTAAATCTAGTGCAGAACAAGAGGTAGGAATAMACCACTCTCATAATGGCGGACAAGTGCACGAAAACGGTCATTAGTTCACAATGAAAGATGTCAAAGCACATGAAATGCGTTTAGAGAAGAAAAGTATATTAATCGACCTTTTGTTTTGACCGGAATTCGCGCTRTCYACCTTTATTTTGAATGAGCAGCCTTGCTCAGCCTTGCAAGATGACTGGGTGGCCTCATTTTCGTGCGCTCGTCAGCCATTATGAGAACGGTAAATAACAATAACGAATGAATTCAGGGTTTTCAGTTAGGGTGTGGGATGGAGGGGGTGGTAAAGTACATAAGTCGTGACTGGGAGGGAAGGAGTGTTTTCTCGATTCAAATTGCTTTAGAACTCCCTTGAAGCATGGCTAGTGCTCTGGTGACATCTGGGGGACTTACCATTTCAACCAATTCCGGTTGGGAATTCGTTTGCTATAATGGAAAAAAAAAAAAAAAAAAAAAAAAAGCGGGAAACGTTTTCTTCCAAAAAATGGCGAACGCGTCTATCGGAAGAAGACCGAGTTTTCTGGAACTTTCCGATCGGAATGATACACACCATTTGTTTTCAAACCGGAATTTCCTGCGAAAATCCCCTGTATTTCGAGATTAGTTATTCGAGCTAGTCCTCCCGTTTTCGYACTTTAGGAAAATGTCATTAGTGATATCAATGCCTGGCAAATATTTTTTTTCTGCAGCGAGAAAAACAAGAACAAAAAGAACAGAGTATGAAGCTTGCAAATACTTTGAATAACATTGGTGGAGTACTGTTGCAGGGGATGGTCCCGGGCGAGGACCTAGATATTGCCACACCCCTGTTAAACATAAGTGTATCTGTTAAACCAGCAAATGAACTGAAAACYGTTTCATCTCCTTCTGGGACGACTATTGGTGGACTTGGAGATGCTATGCCTTCAAACACTTCGGAGGCTGTTTCTGTTAAGGTAAGGCAAATTGCTCGATTTTCAGTCGAACATTCTAATTAACTAACTACTCGATTACAAATTAAGCTCTACAACCTCCTCGTTACCAGCGGATTTAACTTCTCTCAGCCAGAACAGCATGGGCAGCATGGGTGGTGTTCGCGACTAACGCGTCTTCTTTCACCGCTGTGAGTCCATCGGGTTGGGTCGCTGGTTCGAGCCCTGAGGTCGCCACATGTGAATTAAGTTTGTTTGACGTGTTGCTCTATGCTACGAGGGTTTTCTTCGGGTTCTCCGGTTTCCTCCCGCCATAAAAATCAACATATGAGTTGAGCGTTGTGTGCATAGAATATTGAATGT